TGTTGGACACTGGCAGTAATGATTCCCTATGGTAGGAAAAGAAATTCTTTTAAAAAAGAAATATATTTTGCGTTTTTTTATTTTAAATCGTCGTCAAATGATACGGCGCATCTTGACGTAGAATACAGTGCTTTTTTTTCATCCAAATAATTTATATAAATAATAATAATCACATATATATTAATGGTAGGCATATAAACATATTATAAAAATAAATATGACTTAATTGTACTGACAATGACTTCTTGTGGCACGTGATTTATTTTTTTACTATTAAAGATATGTCAATGTTCCTAAAAATGTTTGTTACTTAATTACACTTAAATAACTAAACAAATTTGAATAAACTTTGGTATATAGATAGACCATTTTCTAAATTACCAAACAGCATACTTTTATATTATTAATTAACAAAAAAAAAATTTGAAAATATTAAAATATTAAACGCCTCTTGAATCCTTTTAAAATATGTTTATATACAAATTATTGCTATTGTATTTTATCAGGCGCCTAATTGTTAAGCAATTTTGAAAGCGAGAAGATTTTCGTTTTGTCTGTATATTTTGTGTATATGTGACACAATTATTGTAGGCGTATTTAAATAAGAGCCGGATGGGTTGTGCCCACCTCAGAACCTTGTCTGCTACCTGCACCAGAATGTGACTGTAGCTTTTCACAAGCGCAAATACGTGTTTAAGTGTACATGTGTCTTTTAAAGCAAAATAATCATAACTATAAGGGGGAAAGGGATGGTTAGTAATGCGGACTACTAATCCCATTACCAGCAATATACTCTGTCAGGGCGACCTCCACGTGGTCCTCCTAGAAACCATCGTGCTGAATTCCAGATGTATTCGTCACGATGGGTTAGCTGACCTGTCTTTATATCCTCACCTATCATTTTTAGCTGGTGCCCTACCAGCATATACCGTTAGTACAGGCGGAGCTACCATTCCATTAACATGTATTGAAAAAAAACATAACCACAATAAAAAATTGTCATTGAGTAAATTTTTTTTTAATGGCTGAGTATGGAATTGTAGCCTCGCCTGCACTATCGATGTACGCTGATGGGGCACCAGAGAAGGGTTATAGGTGAGGGTGAAAGCAAATCAGTTGGCCTACCGAACTCAACAATGATTATCCACAATGGTTTACCGCGTGGAGGTCAACCTGATGGGGTATATTGCTAACAATGGGATTGTTAAACCTTATGTCTAACCATTACTAACGTCCTCCCCCCCCCCCCCTTCCCACAGTTGATGATTTTTCAAAAGACGTCAAAAAGAAGTAAATTCTTAAGGTTGGTTGTATTTTTTTTGTGTTTGTTACCTCATAACTCTGTCAGTTGGGGGGGGGGGAGGGATTGTTAGTAATGGATACTGAGAATCCCATTGCTAGCAATATACCCAACCAGGTCGACCTCCTCGCGGTTCCCCCTGGAAACTATCATGGTTAATTCCTGATGAATTCATCATGATGGGCTAACTGGCCTGTTTTCATTCTCATCAATCACCCTTCACTGGTGCTCCGCCAGCGTATCCCGTTAGCGCAGGCGGGGTTACCATACCATTTTCACCCATCAAAAAAAAAACTCTTGCCAGTTGTGAACCGATTTGGAAAAATATTTTTTTATCTAACAAGATATACTCACCGCTTGGTCCCATAGAAATTTTATCAAAATCGATACAGTAATTTCATTTTATAGAACAACTATCTAGTTATCTACATAGTTTTGTAACAAATGAAATCTTTTTTGTGAAACATAACATCTTTTTTTACAATTGATATTTGCCCCTTACGTTATTCTATTGCTCTCCATCACAGGTGGACTGATCAAGATATTTTAACAGACTTGATTTGAGCTGGCATCCTATCTGTCTATCTATCTATCACTTTACGCTAATACTTGGCCAGGATATACCAATCTTACAGGCGAAGACACTATTCCATTTTGCTATCATTAAAAAAAAAAGATTGGACTTGTCTTTTTTTTATACAACTTAGAATGGCAAACAAGCTGACTGCCCACCTGGTTGAAAGTGGTAACCGTCGCCTATAGACATGAGCAGTACCATGGACATAACAGAGTATACTGTTTCGCCCATGATATCCCGCATGCGTTGCCATTCCTGAGAACTCAGGTGTTATTCCTCTGTGCCCAGTAAATTCACGTCATATCTCACTCTTCAAACCGAAACACAGCCATGCAAACACAGCTGCTTCACGGTTGAAACACGAATGGGACAGAGGTACCCAAGCAATCGACTTTTGTACAAAGTCTCCCTCTGGTATACGGACTGCTTGTTCCCACTACTAGCAATCCCTCCCCTTGAATTTAACGGTCACGTCAGAGCATCGAACCCGTGCCAGACTGTCCACTGAGTCATAGGGTCGTGCTACGTGAACCGTACACGCGAAGTCGGTTAAAAAGTGAGTAATGTGTTAGCGTAGCCCATGCGTGTAGCATACCGGTCACGTATGGAATGTAACTCTACTTATTTAACTTTATTTTTTGGCAGGAATGGCAACGCATGGGGAGTATCATGAGCGAAACAGTATACTCTGTTATGTCCATGGTACTGCACATGTCTATAGGCGACGGTTACCACTTTCCATCAGGTGGGCCGTCAGCTTGTTTGCCATTCTAAGCTGTATAAAAAAAATCCTTTTTTGAAGTCGCTTAATAAATATATACCGTCGTTGGGTATCATAAACGACATTCTATTTTTATTAAAAAAAAATATCTAAATGTCGATGATAAAATTCAGATAAATTATGGTGTGATTATAAATGTATTAAAATTTATTAAATAAATAATTATAATGTACCTATAGGAACACGTTAATTCCCGTTTATTATTAACCCTTTTTAGTGCCATTTATTTTTACTAATATCTACTTAAAAATGCCAAAGAAATCTTTGTCGTGATGTCGTTTACTCTTGTCTCTAAAAAAACTGTATCTCCTCCAAAAATTATTCAATTTTAATATTTTTTTTTTTTACAGCGAGCTAAACAGCGACTGATTTCACGAGCGCTATGACGCTCGTGGTGCTTTTAGTTACAATGCGCACGAGCGAGATGGCGCTCGTCGGCACTCAAAGGGTTAATCATAAAACTGGGGGGAAAGGGATTGTTAGTAATGGAGACTGAGAATCCCATTGCTAGCAATATACCCAACCAGGTCGACCTCCTCGCGATTCCCTCTGGAAACTATCATGGTTAATTCCTGATGAATTCATCATGATGGGCTAACTGGCCTGTTTTCATTCTCATCTATCACCCTTCACTGGTGCTCCGCCAGCGTATCCCGTTAGCGCAGGCGGGGTTACCATACCATTTTCACCCATCAAAAAAAAACCATAAAACTGTTTTGATTAGATTATATCGTAACTTAACACAAAGTAATCTTTACTGAACTGAGTAATCTAAGTAATTATTTACTGAATCACGCAAGCAAAACCATAGGCAACAACTAATTTATTCTAAGACTCGTGAACGCAGTCACGGGCATAACTAGTATTTATTATACTAGAGCATACATCCATACGTCACGCATCAACTCCTGCGCACAATATAGTTCCTTCCATATGGTAGTGTGCGCTCGCACACACACACGCAACGAGACCAACAGGTGTGCACACATACAAGTGCAAATAGTACAGGCTGTTTACATTTTCCTAATTTCTCTAAAACATTTTTTTTTAAATAAATTTACATTTTTATTTCCATAAATGCGTCATAATGGTTGTAAGACTACTTATTAAGTAGGTACTTACATTCAGTTTTTTTTTATGGGTGAAAATGGAATGGTAACCCCGCCTGCGCTAACGGGATACGCTGGCGGAGCACCAGTGAAGGGTGATAGATGAGAATGAAAACAGGCCAGTTAGCCCATCATGATGAATTCATCAGGAATCAACCACGATAGTTTCCAGGGGGAACCGCGAGGAGGTCGAGCTGGTTGGGTATATTGCTAGCAATGGGATTCTCAGTCTCCATTACTAACAATCCCTTTCCCCCCACTTACATTCAGTTATATGTTAACTATAGTTAACGTATTAAATATACTTATAAAATCTTTTACCCTATCTGAATGATCAACGCACAGCTAAAGCTACTAAGTCTAGGAAGCAGAAGCTGGAATAAAAAAATTGTGTCCCACAAAAAAACACAAAAATTGTGACAAAACCAAGTTATTTAAATCTAAAAATTACTCAAACGATTTTGATAAAATTTCTATGGGATTAATCTGTAAGTATATCTTTTTAAATGTAGATTTAGAACTGAAGTTATGAGTAAATACAATACAACCGAATTGAGAAACTTGTTATTTTTAACCGAGTTCAAAAGAAAGGCGATCTCGATTCAATTGAACAGGTTTATTTTGGAACATGTGTAACGCACAAACAACTCCTCTCGTGTTGCAGGTGTTCATGGACGACGGTAGCGCTTTCCATCGCCTTCCTAAACAAAAAAATAATAATAATAAAATCGCATCCGCTAAGAAAAGAATTTAAAAACAATTTTAGCTTAAAGGAAAAACATGACACTATGCATGCAGAACCGCAGGCAAAAGTTAGTATTTTATAAATAATTAAAAACCTAATAAAGTCATATAGTTTTATAATTAGAACTATATTACTTGTGCAAAATTTTATAAATAATTTATTATTTAAGCTCTCTTTGACTCCATCTAATAATTATCTATAAATTTTAACTACACACTGTAGATTCCCTTATCACTGTTCACCTTAACGTGTGAACAATGTACACGCATACAAATGCAGTTAATATGCATCTTATTTTCTAGACGATAAGATTGATTTTCTAAATTCATACAACACTAAAGTATTTGTGGAACATTAAATTGTAACCAGATTATATTGACCTCCCGTGTCCCTCGTCGTAGTACGTTATTCGATATTGTGGAGGGAGAATGTATAGTCGAGCATGGGTCTTCGTAAACTGGACATAGAACGTTCCGATTTTGAAAACTTAATTTCGTATTCACATTCGCGCGCCGTACCGCGCTAGACGTGTCCCGCCATTTAATTTCTTTTTAATTTTTCAACTTTTTAATTTCGTACGCATTTGGATTCACAGTGAATTTTGAAGCTATTGTTGTTTTTTTGTGTTATCTGTTCTTATCTGTGGAATGAAGGACTTTACACAACTCGTGAGTAAGTAAAACCTATTATTTTCTATTCACTTTGTTTTTATATAGCGTCATAATCGTAAAATATATCTTAAACAGAGTCGTTAAGGCGAGTACTTTTTCTTTTACGTAATTAAATTGGGCGCGATTTTAATCAATGTATTTTTTTTGTTTTGCGGATGCAAACGAATAGTGTTGTACTGTCTTCTGATTATTTTCTGTTTGGATTTATTTTATCTGTGGCGTATTAATTGATCTGGAATTTATCTAAGTAATACAGATTATGTACGTAATGTTTAGTTAAGTTATAAAAAATGTAGAACCAATCAATTAAACTTAGTACTTACATTCTTACACGCTCCTAATGTTGTTTAATTATAGTTCCTGCGATTAACTTAGGTATTTGTTATTATATGAACAGATCTACGTAACGCATCAATGATTTAGGTTAATCTTAAAAATGCTACGTAATTTTTTTTAACCGACTTCAAAGAAGAGGTTCTCGATTTTTTTTTCTGTAGTTTCCTATCTTATATTCAGTTCAAATCAGTTGTTAACCGATTTGTAACATTTTAACATTGCAATTAAATAATAAATTTTTTTTTGTGAAATAAATAAATATGCATTTTTTATGCACCTTAGAAAGGCAAACAAGCTGACGGCCCACCTGATGGAAAGTGGTAACCGTCGCCTATAGACATGAGCAGTACTATGGACATAACAGAGTATACTGTTTCGCCCATGATACCCCCCCATGCGTTGCCACTCCTGAGCACTCAGATGTTATTCCTCTGTACCCTGTAAATTTACTGCCATATCCCACCCTTCAAACCGAAACACAGCCATGCAAACACAACTGCTTCACGGTAGAAACACGAATGGGACAGAGGTGCCCAAGCAAACGATACAACAAACAAACCTACATATGTAAATGTTGCTTATAAACTAATACACATCTATTGAATGAAATAGCCGTGTGGTCCCGGCATAGAATAGGCCACCGACTAAGGGGAGGCGAGAGATGAGCAGCAGCGTTCCTCTTAAAACGTCCCTAAAGCCTGACTGCGGTTGCCAATCTGGCTGCCAAGCGTGGCAACTAATGGTGAAACCCCCCAAGGGGAGGCTTATGTACAGCAGTGGACAGTTAAAGGCTGGTATGATGAATAAAATGGCGGGAGATTTTCAATTATTTACAAAACGTTAAAATATTTTATGTCTACGCTACGATATAAATCAATGTATTTAATAAAGATAAGCTTTATCATTACGAGTCATTGCGCCCTGTTTTCTTTATGTCTATACTAGCGGCTCGTCCCGGCTTCGCACGGGTGTACATTTTTACAACATATTAAAAAGTGGTCATTGTGACATAACGATAATAGTTGGACATATAGTGTCGCGATGTTTTTTGTAGCTATTGATATTTTCTTCAATATTGTAGAACATACTTTTGTTCTATCACCAATAGTTTCCGCAGCGCACGCGACCAAAGATATTTTATAGCATTTTTTTACACCTTGAGTTACGTTACTAAAGTTTTAGTAAGGATCCCCTAATGTTTTCTAGCAATAAATATAGCATGTGTTACTCAGGGTGAATGTAGCTTTCTATTAGTGAGAGAATTTTTGAAATCGGCAAAGTAGTTTTTGAGTTTATTCATTACAAACATACATACACACAAAAATACAACTCTTTCCTCTTTCAATATTGTAGAACATACTTGTTCTATAATGCAATGGACGTAACCGATGTTGAACATTTTTTGACGATTTTAATTGCATTTTTTTTTTATGTCGAAGTTTAAAAATGTCCACTCGTCCGAAGCCAGGACAGGCCGCTAGTTAATAACATATTTAACGGCGAAACTAGAGTTTCTTTTTTATTGGATGAAAATGGTATGGTAACCCCGCCTGCGCTAACGGGATACGCTGGCGGAGCACCAGTGAAGGGTGATAGATGAGGATGAAAACAGGCCAGTTAGCCCATCATGATGAATTCATCTGGAATTAACCGTGATAGTCTCCAGGGGGAACCGCGAGGAGGTTGACCTTGTTGGGTATATTGCTAGCAATGGGATTCTCACGTCTCCATTACTAACAATCCCTTTCCCCCAGCGAAAATACAGTTATAATCATTTATTTATTCGATTCGATTTATTTATTCACTAGTATGTACAACACACTCTGCGCCTCTAGATAACACCCATCATCAGGCTTTGATAATGTTATCAACTGTTGATAAGGACACAGGTACGAAATACGAAAACATCCCATGCGAAGGTTAAACATGCTGTTGGACGTTTTATATAATGCTTTACCACAAAGATGGTAATTTTTTTTTATGCAATTTAAAATATAAATAAGTTTACTATTGTAATCATGTAAAAATGGAGGAAACAATAAAGAGTATCTATCTGTCCATCTATTTATTGCCTGTATACCTGAATGTGACAGAAAGTGATCTCTGACTACCCCTCGTCTAATGGTATCTGTTATTTATTTATTTATTTATAATGTAATATCAAATGGAGGCGAATGTAATGGACACATACAATGCATTTTATTTATATTTCTTTTTATTGTTATTTTTAATGAGGAGTTTCGCGACTGACTCTTGGCCACAGCAGAATATCAGTGTTTTGCTCTTTTAAGGGCAAAGCAATAAACTGAGTTGTGACCATTTTGTGTTACTATGGCACACGTGTGAAGGAAGGGAAAGAAGGGAGATTGTTAGTTTATATATTTTGTTTTTTTTTTGTTTTGTGCTTTTTATTTTCATTCTTTTATCTCTTTTACTGTGTATTATGTGTATGTTTGTATTGTAATTTGTGTGCTGTAAGTAATGTAAATAAATTATCTATCTATCTAATTCAAAGGCTTCATATTTTTAAAGTCGGTTAAAAATTTGTGTACATTACATGACCATGGCCAGATTAACTATGTCAGTGCCTGTAGACCAGTGTTTCGCAACCTTTTTCGTGCCATGCCCCACTTGAACATTTCAAACATTTTTATGCCCCCATACATAATTTCTCCCGACAAAGTTTACTTGACGACTCTAATCGCCCAGTTGATATTTTGGTAACGTCAAACGAAATTATACCTAATATATATTTTACAGCATTTTTTTTTTTAATTAACTTTTTTTGTTAAATTTGTCACCGATATCTACTCGTAGCATTGCATTTAAATGGCCCGGAGCAATTGAGATAAAATCGCTTCGAGTCCATTTTTTAATTACCCCCTCTTAACTATCAAATTGGCCCCCTGTGAGACGTGGGCCCTACGTTGGGAAACACCACTCTAGACAATGGAGATCGAGCTAATAAAAAAAAAAAACTGCTTTTATATTTATTCTAAATATATCATCATCGTCATTATTACAGTCTTTAACTGTCCACTTCTGAACATAAGCCTCCCCCTTGGGGGGTTTTGCCGGTAGTTGCTACTCTTGGCAAGCGGATTGACAATCGCAGTCAAGCTTAAAAGATGTTTTAAGAGGGACGCTGTTGCCCATCCCTTGCCGTTCCTTAGTCGACTTACGACACTTACGGGAAAGGAAGGGGTGGCCTATTCTGTGCCGGGACCACACGGCCATTCTAAATATAACAACGGGGAGGGGGGAAGGGATTGTTAGTAATGGAGACCAGAAATCCCATTGCTAGCAATATATCCAACAAGGTCGACCTCCTCGTGGTTCCCCCTAGAAACTATCATGGTTAATTCCTGAGGAATTCATCATGATGGGCTAACTGTCCTGTTTTCATTCTCATCTATCACCCTTCACTGGTGCTCCGCCAGCGTGTCCCGTTAGCGCAGGCGGGGTTACCATACCATTTTCACCCACCAAAAAAGAAAATGTAACAACGACAATATACGCAGTCGGGTAAAACCGAAATAAAGGTGAAATAATTGCAACATGTGTTTATACATTAATATAGGTGTGTATGTTTGTAAAGACGACTGTATTTGTACAGTTGTGCAGTGTTTGTTGTCTGTTTGTAAACGGACAGAGCCGCGGGAAACAACTGATGGTGATAGAATTAAAAAAAAATATGAATACATATATTTTTATGCAACTTAGAATAGCAAACAAGCTGATGACCTTGCTAATGGAAAGTGGTAACCGTCGCCTATAGACATGACCAGTACCATGGACATAACAGAGTATACTGTTTCGCCCATGATACCCCCCATGCGTTGACATTCCTGAGGACTCAGGTGTTATTCCTCTGTACCCTGTAAATTTACGCCATATCCCACCCTTCAAACCGAAACACAGCCATGCAAACACAACTGCTTCACGGTAGAAACACGAATGGAACAGGTATTGCAGGCGTTCATAGGTTAAGGTAACCGCTTACCATCAGGTGGGCCGTATACTTGTTTATCGTCTAAGAGGTGTAAAAAAAACTACTTCATCTGTTCTTGAATTGAGTTTTTTGTGGGGGAAAATATACCTACTTTTATTTCATAGAAAGTTTTGTATATATCCTAAAAAAGTACTTAAAGATAAGGTCGTGAACTCTGTTAGATATATTTTTAGGGTTCCGTACCTCCAAAGAAAGAAACGGAACCCTTATAGCAAGGCATATTCCTTTTCAAAAGGCCGGCAGCACACCTGCAATACCGTTGGTGTTGTGTGTGATCATGGGCGGCGGTAGTCACTTACCATCAGGTGAGCCGCATGCTCGTTTGTCCCCTGTGTTGTATTATAAAAGAAAACTTTGCTATCCGCCCGTCCGTCTGTCCAGACCCTTTTTCTTAGGAACGGCTGGAGGTATCAAGTTCAAATTAATACTACATACTCAGGTCTGCAATCTCTTAAAGCGGTGATAAAAATCAAGCTTCTAAATCGACGCAATCAAACGATACGGCCGTTTACGTTACATTTATATCGCGTATTTTGACATTCGCAAAAGGAATCAAAACCTATAGGGTGCTTCCCGTTGACCTGGAATAATGAAATATGGCAAGAAGCAATGTCGTGTAGCACAAGTAAAGGAAAAAATCCGAAAACCGTAAACTTGCAGTTTTTTTTATATACAACTTAGAATGGCAAACAAGCTGACGGCCCACCTGATGGAAAGTGGTAACCGTCGCCTATAGACATGAGCAGTATCATGGACATAACATAACTGTTTCGCCCATGATACCCCCCATGCGTTGCCATTCCTGAGGACTCAGGTGTTATTCCTCTGTACCCTGTAAATTCACGCCATATCCCACCCTTCAAACCGAAACACAGCCATGCAAACACAACTGCTTCACGGTTGAAACACGAATGGGACAGAGGTACGCAAGCAATCGACTTTTTTACAAAGTCTCCCTCTGGTAAACTTGCAGTTATTTCACAAAAAAAAACTTGATTATTTGTACGGAACCCTCGTTGCGCGAGTCCGACTTGCACTTGACTGGTTTTTTTTAGTCGTTACTTCTGTCGTGTCGTGATGTCGTGACATAATCGTTTATAATGGTTACTTCGCTTGCATTAACTCCGCATTATGGCTTTGATACGAAATATCTTGTTTTCTTCCGACTTAAAAAAAAGGAGGTTCTCGATTCGCTTGTATTTTTTTTTTCTACAACTTAGAATGTCAAACAAGCTGACGGCCCACCTGATGGAAAGTGGTAACCGTCGCCTCTATAGGCGATATATGTCTATACATGACCAGTAGCATGCACATAACAGAGTATACTGTTTCGCCAATGATACCTCCCGTGTGTTGCCATTCCTGAGGACTCAGGTGTTATTCCTCTGTACCCAGTAAATTCACGCCATATCCCACCGTTCAAACCGAAACACAGCCATGCAAACACAACTGTTTCACGGTTGAAACATGAGTGGGACAGAGGTACCCAAGCAGTCGACTTTTGTACAAAGTCTCCCTCTGGTAATTATTAGTATAGTAGTGGATAACATGTTTCATCCATTTCATCCCAAACCTCACGATCGTTTTAAATTTAACATACGTAATGAAAATATGTGTCATTCTATACCGTGTGGTCCCGGCATAGAATGGACCACCCCTTACTGTCCCGTAGGTGTCGTAAGAAGCGATTAAGTGAACTGAATGGTCAAAGGATGGGCAGCAGCGTCTCTCTTAAAACAGCACCGAAGCCTAACTGCGCTTGCCAATTCGCTTACCAAGCGTGGCAACTATTGGCAAAACCCAATGGAGGAGGCCAGTGTCCAGCAGTGGACAGTTAAAGGCTGATAGAATACAATAGTCAAAATATACAATGATGTTACATTTACGCACCACTTACAAATGGCGACTTGAATGTTTACATGCGCGTACGCACCTGTGCCATCGATTTAACGGCCGACGCATCTGTTGCGTCGAAATACACCCCTCTTAACAATATTACATACAGGTGTAAACTAATTTCATTTTCAATTCACCAGAGGGAGATTTTGTATAAAAGTCGATTGCTTGGGTACCTCTGTCCCATTCGTGTTTCAACCGTGAAGCAGTTGTGTTTGCATGGCTGTGTTTCGGTTTGAAGGGTGGGATATGGCGTGAATTTTTACAGAGGAATAACACCTGAGTCTTCAGGAATGGCAACGCATGGGGGGTATCATGGGCGAAAACTCTGTTATGTCCATATAAATAACTCTCTCTGTTTCTCTCTCGTATAAAAAAATTTTTTTTTTTTTTTGTAATAATCTCATGTATTTTTGATTCATAGTTAGTTTGAATAACTATTGTATGGATAAAAAAGCCATATTTTAATTAAATATTTACATTTAATTTTTATTTTGTATTTTATTCTTTTTTTTTTTTTTTGTTTTCATTCCTCTTGTTTGTTCGTATATATTTTTTTTGTTAACTCCTATTTTTGGCTTGTTTTGTGATCCTAAACTGTATCTATTTGCTCTGATGTAGCCCTGGTTTTGCTGTAAATAAATAAATCCGAATAAATAAAACCGCGAGGAAGTCGACCTGATAGGGTGTATTGCTAGCAATGGCTCAGTTAGATCCCATTACTAACAATCCCTTTCCCCCATATAAATAACTCTCTCTCTCTCGTGTCACATGTGTCGTTGAATATAGCTTAAATCTTTCCTCTCTGTAACTTTTGAACAATATTTCTCAACTGGAGCCGAGGGTAAAAACGAATCTATCTATTCTATTTAAGAGCTGGGCCTCTGGACAAGTGGCAAGCGAATTCGTCGATGGAATCGACATCGCTAGCTAGTCCGTGAGTTGGAATGAGTCACCCGGCGTTGCTATCTGATTCTGTCTCACGGACTAGCTAACGATGTCGATTCCATCGACGAATTCGCTTGGCACTTGTCTAGAGGCCCTGATCTCTTGTTGGTGGAGCTCTTGCCACTCACTACGATTAGCAGCGAGTCTTTTCACCTCTTGATACGACACGACACCAACTCCTTCCTTGATCTGCCTGATGTAACTGTGCCTCGGTCTCCCCCTTCCCCGCCTTTCTTCTATCTTACCTTCTATTATAACGTTCATAAGTCGTATCAAGTGTCCCAACATTTTATAAACGAACATAAATATAAAATACGGATGGTATGAGAACCTCGATTTTTTTTAAGTCGGTCAAAACCACGGGTTAGTGAGCAGGGGGCCGGCAGAGCGTGTCTCTAGGGGTGGTTCGAAATGTCAAGCGTGAACAATAGGGGTGCACTGGGTTGGAAATAGCTGTACGAAATAAGATACGTTTACCATTTGCCATCGGGCGGGCCGTATGCTTGTTTGCCGAGTATGCGATGTATAACTAACTAAATTGTGTTATTTTGATTTAAAAATTAAATTACTGGATCGATTTTGATACAATTTGTATGGAACTTTTTTATCTTAAAGGATATAGATTGGGTATACATATATCCTTTCAGATAAAAAAAAGAGTTTTCCAAATCGGTTCACAACTGACGGAGTTATGAGGTGACAAACATACAAAAAAATACAACCGAACAGAGAACGTTCTTTTTTCTGAAGTCGGTTTAAAAACAATCAACTTGAGTTGTCTGGAATCAGCTTTATTTCCATCGTGTAATGGCAAACTAAAGAATTAAATTCTTTTATAAAACCGAGGCGGCAAACAAGCATACGGCCCACCTAATGGTAAGCGGTTTTTTTTTAATGGATGATAATGGAATGGTAACCCTGCCCGCGGTATCGGTATACACCGGCGGGGCACCAGTGAGAGTGAGGATGAAAAGGCAGGTCAGTTAATGCATCGTGACGAATTCAACGATAAATTAGTCACGATGTTTTTCAGGGGGAACCGCGTGGAGGTCGACCTGATAGGGTATATTGATAGCAATGGGCACAACTAACCTCCTATTAACAACAATCTCTTCCCACCGATGGTAAGCGATTACCGTAGCCTATACCAAAGCCACCTACAATACCAAATTTATCAAAATTTTAACATTTTTTTTATACAAATTAGAACGGCAAACAAGCTGACGGCCCATGATGGAAAGTGGTAACCGTCACCTATAGACATGAGCAGTACCATGGACATAACAGAGTATACTGTTTCGCCCATGATACCCCCCATGCGTTGCCATTCCTGAGGACTCATATGTTGTTCCTCTGTTCCCTGTAAATTCACGCCATATCAAACCGAAACACAGCCATGCAAACACAACTGCTTCACGGTAGAAACACGAATGGGACTTTAGCAATCGACTTTTGTACAAAGTCTCCCTCTGGTATTAAGAAATGTGGCAGTGAAATAACAAAAGCATGGGATCATCGCCCTAGTCAACAGGAATGGCAACGCATGATGGGTACCATTGGCACCACGGTGCATTTTATACTCATGTCTATAGGCCACGGTTACCACTTCCGATCAGGTGGACCGTCAGCTTGTTTGCCATTTTAATTAGCGTAAAAAAAAAAATTCCAATAACTTTATTTTATTCTTTTCAGATTAAAAGAATGCCAAAATTAGCAATATATTCCGAGGGAGATAGCAGTTTTAAATAATTATACACGTGTTATATAAGTGTAATGTAATTGATTGAAACACAAAATGGCCGAAAACGAAGCGCCAGTCACTGTGGACGATCTGCCGATGACGTTTCAGGTGAGTTTATTTATTTATTTAAACTTTAATGCATACTAAAATTTGTTTTTACATATGGCGGACTTAACATCGGACGGTGTTCTCTACCAGTCAACCATTGGGCGAACAGAGAAATAAGTAGCCGGTGCATTATTGAATAGAGGAACAATAAAGCAATACTTGATATATTTATATATTATACTAATATAAATATACTTGTAATGGGGGGAGAGGGGTTGTTAGTAATGGAGACTAAAAATCCCATTGCTAGCAATATATCCAAGCAGGTCGACCTTCTCGCGGTTCCCCCTGGAAACTATCATGGGTAATGATGAATTTATCATGATGTGCTAACTGGCCTGTTTTCATTCTCATCTATCATTCTTCACTGGTTCTCCGCCAGCGTATCCCGTTAGCGCAGGCGGAGTTACCATACCATTTTCACCCATAAAAAAAAAATACTTATAATATAAATATATTAAATTGCTGGCTACCAGAAGGCTGGCCTATATTTTGGTCAACGCATCTCTATAGCTATTCGGCGTGAAAATGCAGCAAGTCTCTTAGTTACGCTACCAGTTGGCAGTGATCTCAAAGTTTTTTTTTTTTTTTTTATATTTAGGTAGTTTTTTAATGTATTGTTATTGATATTTATAGTACAAAGATATAATATCATATATAGATTAAATTTTTTAAATAAAAAAAATACTATTAACAAATAATAAAGTGTCTTAGAAGAGCAAGTGAAACGGTCTATGACTCGGAGTATACCAGCAAGGTTAATTTAAAAGTAAAACGAAAAAATATAAATAAATTATATGTTATTGTAACAGAGAAAGTATAAACAGTGTTTTATATTATTCTCAAATTCGTGTATAATATAGTATATGTCATATATGTGTAAGTATATTTGTTATTCATATATATTTATTCGTTTATATATGTAATTTTAGTATGTATGCATATCAATAATTTAGTAGTACCGCATTCGTGTATTCTGACACTTGCCTACGGTTGACTGGGAGAGAATGCTTTTAGCATTAAGTCCGCCATGTACACATATTTGTACTGATGAATAAATAAATAAATAAACGATCGTCATCATTAATTTATTTATTCGTTCATACATTCATTAATTCATTATATTTATTACAGTTGCATTGAATACTTTTTAGTGGATGATAATTAAATGGTAACCCCGTAATAACCAATTCTGTGCCGGGACCACACGTCAAAAAATAGAGTAAAAACATTAGAAACATAGCTCAATACAAATGTAAAGTAGTAGTAAGTTTATACTAGGCCGCCAAGTTGGAAAAAAATAGAAGAGTTCACGACAAATAAGTCAGTGATGTCATAGCAGAGTCAGTTGACACTTTAAAGTAGGGGTCATTTCATTTGACCTCATTTCTAATTCAATCCAGTTCATACCATGTTCCTATGTTCATAATATAGTCCCATTAGGGTAGGCAGAAACAATGGAACGCCAAATGCTTCGATTCTTTCTTCATTCTTTCTTGCTCGATAAATCTCTTTCGTAATTCTTCTTTCGTCCATACTCTTATATATATATATATATATTTTTTTTTTTGATGGGTGAAAATGGTATGGTAACCCCGCCTGCGCTAACGGGATACGCTGGCGGACCACCAGTGAAGGGTGATAGATGAGAATGAAAACAGGCCAGTTAGCCCATCATGATGAATTCATCAGGAATTAACCATGATAGTTTTCAGGGAGGAGATCGACCTGGTTGGGTATATTGCTAGCAATGGGATTCTCAGTCTCCATTACTAACAATTCCGTTCCCCCCAAAGGTACACCCATTTACATAACATGTATGGTGGCTCTAAATAATAATGGTGATAATGTGAGGGTACCATTTTATAAAGTCATTTGCTTGGGCACTTCTGTCCCATTCGTGTTTCTACCGCGAAGCAGTTGTGCTCGCATGGCTGTTTCGGCTTGAAGGGTGGGATATAGCAGTGAATTTACAGGGTACAGAGGAATAACACCCGAGTCCTCAGGAATGGCAACGCGTAGGGAGGTATCATGGGCGAAACAGTACACTCTGTTATGGCCACGATACTGCTCATGTCTATAGGCGACGATTACCACTTTCCATCAGGTGGACGTCAGCTTGTTTGCCATTCTAAGTTGTATAAAAAAAAACAACTAGACTAGCTACTGCCGTTGTAAATGAATTCATGTGGTGAGCGTGAGCATGGGCTTTTTTTCTGAAATTCCCCATCTATACAATGCACCATCACACCTACGAGTATGTCTGAACATTTGTCACTAAATCACAATGGCGACACTAATCGATTTAATCTAGTCACGGTACAAAATTAATATCCTATTGGATTGTGAAGGGGTTATTTATTTATTTATATACTTTTGTACATTCACTTATAGATTTTTTTCTTTGATGGGTAAAAATGGTATGGTAACCCCGCCTGCGCTAACGGGATACGCTGGCGGAGCACCAGTGAAGAATGATAGATGAGAATGAAAACAGGCCAGTTAGCCCATCGTGATGAATTCATCAGGAATTAACCATGATAGTTTCCAGGGGGAACTGCGAGGAGGTCGACCTGGTTGGGTATATTGCTAGCAATGGGATTCTCAGTCTCCGTTACTAACAATCCCTTTCCCCCCACTTATAGATATTAGGTTATAACAAAAATGTACACAGGCGGACTTATCCCATGAAGGGGTTTTTTCCGGTCAACCTTGAGAACTCGAAAGGGGAAAATGTCTATAGGGTTTGTATATAAAGCATAACATGTATTTTAAAGTCTTTTTGTTTGAGTACCAGAGGGAGACTTTGTACAAAAGTCGATTGCTTGCGTACCTCTGTCCCATTCGTGTTTCAACTGGGAAGCAGTTGTGTTTGCATGGCTGTGTTTCGGTTTGAAGGGTGGAATATGGCGTGAATTTACAGGGTACAGAGGAATAACATCTGAGTCCTCAGGAATGGCAACGCATTGGGGGTATCATGGGCGAAACAGTGTTGGTACTGCTCATGTCTATAGGCGACGGTTACCACTTACCATCAGGTGGGCCGTCAGCTTGTTTGCCATTATAAGTTGTATATAAAAAAAAAACAATTCGTACACGTGCGAAGCAGGGCCGGATTGTTAGTAAAAGTATAAATTTAATGAAATAGTAACATTATATGTGTATTTAAAAAGAGTGACGTCATCGCCTAGTATTTACATATTCCATTCGCAGTGAGATTAGGTTAGATATCCAATTACTGTACTGTGCTTCTAAACTGTGACGGTTCGTACTAAGACCGCTACAGACGGGCGATTTTTTGTTTCAGCTATTTACTGTCCAATGCTAGCCTTAATCTGACCCCAAAGACCGTTCCGGGAAGCTTCAAGCTTCTGAGTTATTTAGATTCATTGATTCCCTACAATTTCCTCATAAATTTCATCATATGAGCCGTTAATTGTCCACTGCTTAACATAGGCCTCCAGGGGGGAAAGGGATTGTTAGTAATGGTGACTGAGAATCCCATTGCTAGCAATATACCCAACTAGGTCGACCTCCTCGCGGTTCTTCCTAAAAATTAACATGGTTAATTCCTGATGAATTCATCATGATGGGCTAACTGGCCTGTTTTCATTCTCATCTATCACCTTTCACTGGTGCTCCGCCAGCGTATCACGTTAGCGCAGGCGGGGTTACCATACCATTTTACCCCATCAAAAAAATACGTACACTAGGTACAATTTACATTAATTTCCACAAAAAGTTGCCTGAAAGTCGTCCAGTCTGCAGTCTACATGCAGACTAGATCATGTTAACGAATCGCTAAATTTTATACAGAGCGCAACACAGTTATCAAAACGAGCGGTATTGTAAAGTAATTAATGTATGCAAATTTACTGCCTTAAGGGTGTGCGCAAACGAGGTAATTAAAATAGATTTTTTAAATGTTTTATCCACGACTTCGTTTGCGTTACCGAGATATGGTTTTTTAATGGATGATAATGGAATGGTAACATCACACGCGCTATCGGTATACGCTTGCGGGGCACCAATGAGAGGTGGTAGGTATGGATGAAAAGGCAGGTCAATTAGCCCATCGTGATGAACGGACCTGGAATTCAGCACGATGGTTTTCGGGAGGGGGGACCATGTGGAGGTCGACCTGGTTGGGGATATTGTTAGCAGTGGGATCCTTAGTCTCCATTGCTAACAATCCCTTCCCCCGGCACTAATGAGGAGTGATGGGTGAGGATAGAAAGGCAGGACACTTAGCCCATCGCGATGAATACACCTGGAATTCAGCGCGATGGTTTCCAAGGGAGGACCACGTGGAGGTCGAGCTGACTTGGTATATTGCTAGCAATGGGTCTGCTAATCCGCATTACTAAGAATCCGTTCCCCCCGACCAAGTACGAGTATATTGCTAGCAATGGGACAGCTAGTTCACGTTACTAACCATTCCTTCATCCCCCATTGATTGGTGAGGTTGAAAGCAGGTCAGTTGGCAGTTTTTTTTTCTAAATGGGGTCACAAGTCGCCATTAAGAACAATCCCCTCGCATCTCTTTTTTTTCTTAGCAAGTCCGTTCCGTTCTGGGAAACAAAACCTCTGGATCCGTTTCAATGCACCCAAGCGTATTGATACATCACTATGGCCCCGTGCGTGTGACGTCACTTCCGGTCGACAAAATGGCGGCTAGCCGCTCTAATTGTGGTTTAAATTATCGTCCATTCAAATATGTACCCAACGGTGTATTGTGTTGGAAATGTAGATGGGTAGATGTTTCAGATATAGTTCGATAAACGGTTATTATAAGTACATTTTGCGAAAAAGCATTTGTAATCGTGTATTGTTTTACCAGAGGGAGACTTTGAATAAATGTCGATTGCTTGGGCACCTCTGTCCCATTCGTGTTTCAACCATGAAGCGGTTGTGTTTGCATGGCTGTGTTTCGGTTTGAAGGGTGGGATATGGCGTAAATTTACTGGGTACAGAGGAATAACACCTGAGTCCTCAGGAATGGCAACGCGTGGGGGGTATCATGAGTGAAACAGTATACTCTGTTATGTCCACGGTACTGCTCATGTGTATAGACGACGGTTACCACTTTCGATCAGGTGGGCCTTCAGCTTGTTTACCATTCTAAGTTGCATAAAAAAAATGTATACATACGTACAATAAGTATACGATTTATGTACCCCCCTTAAATTATATAGATAGAGTGTCTCCATACAAATGCTTCGAGAAAGACGGCTCAACTTTTTCAATTTTGCGTGATAAATAGTTACGGGTGATTCCTTTATAACTTCTATATTTATTTTGTCTTATAAATTCTGCATCTTTTTAATGCGTAAACACTCATTGTATTTATTAAATAATTAAATATAGATACGTCAAGATACATTGTGTACGTAAGTATATAGAACACTGATAAAAACAACGAGTCAGCTAATTTGACAATTAGCTGACAAAAAGTTGATCCGTTTTTGAGGCTCGATGCTCTATCTATATAATCTAACGTACCTCTTTAGTTTTTTTTTTGATGGATGAAAATGAAATGGTTGCCTTACCTGCGCTACCGGTATACGCTGGCGGAGCACCAGTGAAGGGTGATCGATGAAAATGAAAACAGGCCAGTTAGCCCATCATGATGAATTCATCAGGAATTAACTATGATAGTTTCCAGGGGGAACTGCGAGGAGGTCGAACTGGTTGGGTATATTGCTGGCAATGGGATTCTCAGTCTCCATTACTAATACTCCTATTCCCCCCATACCTCTTTAGTTAAAATATTAGAAGTATTATGCATAGAGATAAGATCCTTTTAGATGTATTTGGAATCATTTAGATTTTTTTAGATTTAGACAAACAAGCTGACGGCCCACCTGATGGAAAGTGGTAACCGTCACCTATAGACATGAGCAGTACCATGGACATAACAGAGCATACTGTTTCACCCATGATACCCCCCCAGATGTGTTATATTGTCCAATATCAATATTGTAATTGTGTTGTAACTGTAACACCCCTTATTTTTTTTTTAATAGTTATTAGTTTTTGGTCTCCACTAATTCACAAATATAGATAATCAAAGTAACAAACACACACTAACTGGCCTGCTTCATCCTCACCTATCATCGTTCACTGGTGCCCCGCCGGTGTATACCGATAGCGCGGGTGGTGCTACCATTCCATTATCATCCATTAAATAAAAAAAAACAAATTTGCTCCATCATGCACCTTTCGTTAGAGCACTTGTTTTATTAAACAATATTTCGAAAAGAGGTATGAATCTCTTTATCTGTTCTCTGATAGAATTCGCAAAGGCTAATTTACTATTTGTTATTGTAAAATCTAAACTACCATGTTATTTTTTTTTAATGAGTGAAGATGGTATGGTAACCCCGCCTGCGCTATCGGTGTACACTGGCGGGGCACCAGTGAAGGGTGACAGGTGAGGATGAAGGCAGAACGGTTGGCCCATAGTGACCAAATGAACAAGAATTAACCACTATGGTTTCCAAGGGGAACCGCGTGGAGGTCGACCTGATAGTGGGTGTATTGCTAGCACTGGGGCTATTAAATCTCATTACTAACAATCCCTTTCCCCCGACCCATGTTATTTGTTGTACTATGCCTCATTGGGATGTATCCTGTAAGAAAAAAATAAAAATCTGACTCTTTCCAGGTAAAATATTTAGGTCAAAGAGACGCCAAAGGTTTATGGGGCATCAAGCATACCAGGAAACCTGTGGATCTTATGGTGGCTGCAGCGAAAGCCTTACCTCCAGGTACGTTTGAAGCAGTTGTATTTTTTCATGGCTGTGTTTCGGTTTGAAGGGTGGGATATGGCAGTGAATTTGCAGGGTACAGAGGAATAGCACCTGAGTCCTCAGGAATGGCAACGCATGCGGGGTATCATGGGCGAAACAGTGTACTCTGTTATGTCCATGGTACTGCTCATGTCTATAGGCGACGGTTACGGACGGGTACGGTGCATGGTGTTAGTCGATCACGTACGGACTTTTTAACGACCATGTAACTTTAGACATAGTACATTTAAATAAATACACATAATGTTGACAGAGATATAAAAGAGTAACTGTTGAGTCTCTCGCGGACTCCTCTCAACAGATAACAACTTTACGAATCTTGCAGTAGATTTAAAAAAATAATTACTATTTATAAATGCTTGTAAACAAGTCTATTTGAAGAAAGATGATTTGAATTTGAATAGACTACTTGGGTACCTCTGTCCCACTCATCTTTCTGCAGTGAAAAAGCTGTGTTTGTACGACTGCTTCGGTTTGAAGAGTGGAATATGGCAGTGAAATTACAGGGTACGAAGGTATACCACCATAGCCCTCAGGAATGGCAACGCATTTAGGATATTATGGGCATCACAGTATACTCTGTGATGCACCACGCTACTGTACATGTCTATTTATGACGGTCACTGTTTTCATCAGGCGAGCTGTCAGGTATGTAACAAAGATAACCAGTGATATGGACTTTCGTAACATAACCCTTAGTTATATCTTCCTTCCTTCCTTCCTTCCTCCCTTCCTTCCTTCCTCCTGTCCTCCCTCCCTCCCTCCCTCCCTCCCTTCCTCCTGTCCTCTCTCCCTCCCTCCCTCCCTTCCTCCTGTCCTCTCTCCCTCCCTTCCTTCCTTGCTTCCTTCCTTCCTTTCTCTCTTTTTTTCTTCCTTCTTTTCTTTCTTTCTTCCTTTTTTTCTTTCTTTCTCTCTAGTTCACTAAAATAAAAAAACTTATTTTCATTTCACCCAGATCAAATCCTGCCCATCGTGAAATTGGTGATATCTGTCGATGGTGTTTTCATAGAGACAGTACATCAGGGTTTGAAGCGGAATGAATTCGAGCACATGTCGGTCTTCTTCAAGATCGAGTCCATATCCTACGGTGTGCAGGACCTCGTGTACACTAGGGTGTTCTCCATGATAACCGTCAAGGACTCGGTCAACGCCAAAGGTCTAAATCCATTCGAATGTCACGGATTTGTTTGTGAATCAAGGTTAGTTATTATTTATTTATTTTATTTATTTATTTACACATACACTAAACAAACTTTTCATTTAAATAATATCATTAATTAAATACATGTTACATATAACAAAACAACATAATAATGAAGGTTACACAATTATATAATAACATTACTATTTTACTTTTAATTTAGAATAAAAAGAAAAACATATCAAAAACAATATGAATGTAGCCAGTGTTTGTGCAAAGGACCTAACTCGGCATATGTCGCAGCTTCAAATCTGAAGCTACGACACTGATTTTCAGTAGGCCCTAAATACGTAACTCACGGAGACATGTGTGCAAGAGATGTTATGTATAAATATATAAGAATAATATAAAAAACAGGTATATTAAATTGGTTTACGTATTGAATTTAGAATGATTGGTTAATTTTAGAATAAATTGTCGCGTATAACGCGGTTTCAGAGATGTTTCCTCCCACGAACACTCAGGTTGTGGAATGAGCTCCCTGTCGAGGTTTTCCCAAGAGACAACAGCGTAGGGTTCTTCAAAAAGGGGGTAAAGAGGTTTCTACAGGGTCGGGAACGCGCGCGTAATACCTCTGGTATTGCAGGTGTTCATAGGCTACGGTAATCACTTACCATCAGGTGGGCGGTATGCTTGTTTGCCACCTCAGTGGTATAAAAAAAAAGAACTTTTACGTATGAGTGACGTAATAATATAAGATGCATACATTTCCCAATGGTCCCGGGTTCGATCACGCTACAAACTGAAACAAGCTAACGGCCCACCTGTTGGAAAGTGGTAACCGTCGCCTATAGACATGAGCAGTACCATGCACATAACAGAGGATACTGTTTCGCCCATGATACCTTTCATGCGTTGCCATCCCTGAGGACTCAGGTGTTATTCCTCTGTACCCAGTAAATTCACGCCGTAACCCACCCTTGAAACCGAAACGCAGCCATGCAAACACAGCTGCTTCACGGTTGAAACACGAATGGAACAGAGGTGTCCAAGTAATCGACTTTTGTACAAAGTCTCCCTCTGGATGTATATGGTAAAACGACGTTTGCCGAGTCAGCTAGTTATTTTAAAAAAAAAATCTTTATACCCGTGCGAAACTGGGTCGCTGTTTATTGATAAAAATTGAGTATCTCCAATATGTTATCTATAGTTTCCCATGGTTGAAAACGACATAATGTGATCGAAATTACATAAGAAATACATGTGATGAAATAGTTATATGTCCCATAAAATTGGGTCATCAAATTTATCTTTAAAATACTTATTTATAAATCCCACATCCATTTATCTGTACTAATATTATGTAGAGGTAAATTTATGAGTTTGTATGTTCGGTGTAATCTCCTGTACTATTCGATTTTGAATTTTTTTTCTGTAATGTAGTGGCAAAAATTGAAAAATGTTGCGTTGGTTTGTCTATTCGGAGAGGATGGATGAAAGAAGAATTACGAAAGAGATTTATCGAGCGAGAATGAATGGTGATGTCGGTAGGGGCCGCCCTAGACGGACGTATGTCGACCAAATAGGCGACGTGCTGAAGAAGGGCCAAATTAAAAGTACCCGTAACCGGCGAGCGTGTATGAAAAGATTGATGGATGTGGAGGAAGCGAAAGAGGTTTGTTTGAATCGAAGCATTTGGTGTTCCATTGTTTCTGCCTACCTTAATGGGAGACAGGCGTGACAGATATGTATGTATGTATGTTAGAAAGGTATATTATCCCTGAGTTTTATAGACTACTTTTTATTTTGCCAAATTCAGTTCATAAAGAAATAATCAAGGTGGTCTCCAGGGGGAACCACGTGGAAGGCGACCTGATGAGGTATATTGCTGTAGGTCTATTAGATCCCCATTATTAACAATACCTCCCCCCCCCCACCATTAATTTTAAGTTGTACAAGGCTATTTAGCCAATGTTATGGGAATTCAAATTAAAACAAAATCCAAAATGTTCAATGCATCAAACAGTTTGTATGGGCGTGAGAAAAAGTCATATTTCGCTTTGATAACATAATGTGAACATGTTTTAATTAAACACAAGATAAACAAGACAATTATATTATTGTTGTAGTCTAAAATACAGAAGTAAAAAGAAAAAAAAAATATCCAATACCTTAATCAATGCCTATGTGGTGAGATAATACTCGCCAATGTTTATTATTTATATATATATATATATATATATATATATATATATATATATATATATATATATATATATATATATATATATATATATATATATATATATATCACGACGCTTGGTCACGGCACTCACTCGCAGGATGCGCGCGCAGGTCGCGCAGGCGCTTTGTGATTGTTGACTGCGCGCGCATACCGCGCACGGGCCAGCGACCAGAGAGAGTGTTTTGTTAACTTGGACAATTTAAAAATTTATTCGTTTATTGTAAAATAATTATTGTTCTTTTTAATTATTGATTAAATATATTTAAAAGATGAACCCTACCATCAATCCTACACCTATATCGTCACTACATAGTATAAAACAAAGTCGCTTTCTCTGTCCCTATGTTCCTTTGTATGCTTAAATCTTTAAAACTACGCAACGGATTTTGATGCGGTTTTTTTAAATAGATAATGATTCAAGAGGAAGGTTTATATGTATAATACATGCATACTATTGTAGAGGAACACTGATAATTTTACAGGTTTCTAATGTGATGTCGTAACGTAATGGGGGGCCGGCGACGGTATTTTGTATCAGCATTGCACCCGTTCGAAGCCGGGTTAGAAAGCAATTATTATAGTTATTGTAGAAAGCAATAAATGAATTGAATTGAATTGAACACACATAACAACGGACAGGCGTACTTTCTAAATAGCCATGTGCTCCCGTATATCTCGAATAACAAATATACTTACACATATATGATATATACTATATTATACACGAAATTGAGAATAATAAGTTATGTAAATAAATAATATATCTATCTATATAAAAGCGCACTGGTCATTTTACAGGAACGCCGCTCGACGTCTCATTTATTCCCTGTCAGCTGCGTTCCAAGATTATTCTAGAAGAGTTAAGGAGATGCAGGCAGAACCTGGTATGTGATATTTTTTTTATACTACTTAAAATGGCAAACAAGCTGACGGCCCACCTGATGGAAAATGGTAACCGTCGCCTGTAGACATGAGCAGTACTATGGACATAACAGAGTACACTGTTTCGCCCATGATACCTGCCATGCGTTGCCATTCCTGAGGATTCAGGTGTTATTCCTCTGTACCCTGTAAATTCACGCCATATCCCACCCTTCGAACCGAAACACAGCCATGCAGACACAACTGCTTTACGGTAGAAACACGAATGGGACGGAGGCACCGAAGCAAACGACTTTTGTATAAAGTCTCCCTCTGGCATTTGACACACTTATAGTTCGTATAGAGAAGAAATGCAGAATGATAATTTTTTTTTTAATTTATGCATAAAAAATATATTAAATCAATAAAAAAAACATTACACACACTACCATGTATTTGACACACACACTCATATTGTACTCTTTTGTTTATTGTTAAAGTCTGCGGTCGAATTGAGAATAGATTAATATTGTTTGCCTTTAACATTACTTGTCCATAGTCTCACTGAATGTCAAACGTGAACATAATACATTCATTCATTACTATATATGTTATGGTCGAATTTCGACCACTGGACGTCCAATAGTATATACACAACGACGAAAAGATTTATAAGTGTTTATTATATTTTACAGAACTAAATGAGAGACATACAAATCTAAAGAAGAGGTTTGCAATAGATCTTCGGACCCCGGAAGAAATTGAAGCCGACCTGGAGACAGAGGCTTAACTTGATTATGTACATTAAAAAAAAAATAGAGGCTTAATATCATAAACCCAAAGATACAGTATTGTAAAGCTAATTACATAATAAATAAAAAAAAAAAAATAAAGTATTGTAAAGTTATTTGTCTATGATATTGGGATCAATTCTGAAGCACGATTTCTCTAAACATCTCTTAATTTAATATTTTAATTATTTTGTATTTTTATTTATTTATACTTTATTGTACACATTAATGATACATACAATATATGTCACATGCAATCAAATGTACAAAGGTGAGCGTAACTCTAAAAGAGTTCTCTTCCAGCAACAGCCAAAGTGGAAAGAAATATCTTAACTGGACAGTTTCACGAAATAACTGTTTTATGAAACATTATGAACTAAATTTAAAATAGTTTAAATTTGTATCTATTAATAAATTAATTTATTTCAGTCTTAAATACATAGATTTTAATGAGATATCAAATTAAAAAAATTTAATTTTAGAAATGCTTTTAGAGAAATGACGTTTCAGAATCGACTCCACTGTCAATGCTCGTAACTTTTTTAAACATCCAAAATGGCGGGAGCTCTCAATTTTTGCGTGTGCGCGCCATTTTTATTTATTACTTTTTCTAGTTTATCATTAAATTAATTAAATATATTTTGTATATATTTAAGTTAACATATTTTTTGTATTAAGCCAAATTTAATGAGGGCATTGAACTGAAGTTTTATTTTTTTTACTCATGTTATGAGTGATTCTTTTATAACTTCTATAATTTTTGTCTTATAATTTCTGCATCTTTTTAATGCGTAAACATTCATTTTATTTATTAAATAATACATCCAGATACATTTAATGCATAAGTATATAGAACACTGATAAAAAAAACGAGTCAGCTAATTTGACAACTAGCTGACAAATAGTTGACACGTTTTTGAGGGTCGATGCTCTATCTAAGATAATATCAAATTTTTAAGTAAAAAAAAATGGGACTTCAGTCAATTCCAGTTTTTCATTCCCATAATGTTGTGATTATTATAATAAATTTTATAATTAATTAGAAATAGATAAAAACCAAAACATGTCTTTGTGATTTAGCTTTTAGTATTTAATACATTTTTATATTTATTATATAATATAGTCACTATTATATTTTTAGAATACATTTATTTATATAAAATTATATATTTTTCAACCAATTTCTAAAAGAAGTAGGTTCTCAATTCGGTTGTATTTTTTTTTGTGTGTTTGTCACCTCATAACTCCGTCAATTGTGGACCGATTTGGAAAATTCTTCTTTTATCTGAAAGCATATACTTACAGTTAAGTTCTGTAAAAATTTTATCAAAATCGGTTCAGTGATTTAGTTTTTAAATCAAAATAACTGATTTTTTCACAGTTAAAGTTAGTTTCTTGTGGGACACAATCTTTATTTATAATAGAAATATTAGATTTCATTAAGGTTGCATATTTTTTGTTTATAATTATTTACTTATGCAATTATTTAAGAATAGTTTCTTGCATTACAAAAATGCAAATCGCATAGTTTTTACTTTTACCCTAATTTCTGTCTAATTTTTAGTTTATTCTTATTCTATGTACTGTTTTCTGATTTTAACGCCATACAATTATTATTTTTTTTGTAATAAAAAAATGTCATTATTAAATATTTACTGTGTTTTATAGAATTTGGTATAAAAGGGAACCGTATTGCCTATATTTTTCCATCTCTTTGTTGTATAGTGTAAAATTATTGACGTAATTTATTTTATTAAAAACGTTTGTTGTGATAATTCATGTTTTTTTTTATTAATAATAAAAAAATTACTGTTCCCTCGACCACAGATAGAGTAAGTAATTATTACGTTACCTAAAAATTGTGGCACTGCCCTTATATTGACGATATTGAAAAATGGATCTATGCAACCATTTAGAAGTAATATACAATAAAATAAATTCATTTTATAAATACAATATAGAGACTTAACGCGATTCGATTGTAAGTAAATAGTACCTACATACCTATCTAGTTATTATTTCCAACGTTTCGACGAGGATTGCACTACAATGTGGGCATGACAGCGCCAAAATATAAATAAAAATCAGTTATGTAGGTACTATTTACTTACAATCGCGTCGCGTTAAACCTAATTAAGGTATTTGAAATATGTGTCAACGAAGTATAAGGTTAAAATTCATTTTAATAGTGTTGTAACATACTTCTGTCCAAAATATCGATATCAATAGATGTCATAAAATAGCTAGCTATTTTTTAGTATGAAATTTTTAAATTCAAAACCTGGTTGCATAGATTTAATATGAATGATTTTTCTTTGAAGTGATGTGGGGCTGATATAGAACCACAAAAGCTTGGTTTTTTACTAAAATTAGGCCCTTCATCTTTTTGAAATATTCAATTCCGAATTCAAAAATAGCATTTTTATACAAGACTTTTTTTAATTTCATCCATGAACTTCAATACAAAAACGAATTCTTCTTTAGCCGTCTCAACTTCTTTCTCGTTATTTTGTACGTATTTAAGAAAGCCATCTTCTAGTCCATCACTGGCGCTATGCTCTATTAAATCAAGAAGTTTATTCGTAAACAAATGTAGATTAACTTCTAAAATCTTCTTTCTAGATAAATCGTCTAGATATAACTCTTTCAAATTCGCCAGCCATCTTTGATTTCTGAACTGCGTTATTATTGCAATGTGCTTTATTGCGTCGTGCAACTAAAAAAAAATAATTGTATTTACAACTATTTAAATTTGGAATTTGTAATTATTTTATGCTACGATGGCTTAGATTATATAGATAGAGCATAGAATCTCAAAAACGGGTCGACTTTATGTTGGCAATTTTTTTTATTATCAATCATTTATATATTTACATTTATACTACTAGTATAGTATTATATTATCTGTGCTTATATTAATAGTTATCTGAAGATATCTTAATACATCCTTTTTGAAAAACTCTATGCTACATATAGTCTCTAGGGAAAACCTCAGCATGAAGCTTACTCCACGGCTTTAACGTTTTTTTTTTATGCAACTTGGAATGTCAAACAAGCTGACGGCCCACCTGATGGAAAGTGGTAACCGTCGCCTATAGACATGATCTAGTATACTAAAGAGTATACTGTTTTGCCAATGATACCCCCCATGCGTTGCCATTCCTAAGGACTCAGGTTTTGTTCCCCTATACCCTGTAAATTCACGCAATATCCCACCCTTCAAACCGAAACACAGCCATGCAAACACAACTGCTTCACGGTAGAAACACGAATGGGGCAGAGGTGCCCAATCAAACGACTTTTGTACAGTCTCCCTCTGGTGATGGTTGATGGATGAATGATTAAGATGATATGGCTTCGTACCTAATAATTTCACTAGCATATTGTAGCAAGGTGTCTTTAGCCCACTATATACTTACATCATTGAATGCCGAGCGTAAATCTATCAAGAAGTTGCCGACTGTATCTTCGTCCAAATAACCATCTTCTCCAGACTTCTCTCTATATCTGTATAACCATACTCTGTCTAACAATCCTTTGGTCAACAATTTATATTTCTTCCCTTTCATATTCCGTGGTAAGATTATTTTATTCTTTTTTATTTTCTTCTCCCTCAAATCACGGTCACCTTTCAATAGGACCGTTTTTGACGCCAAATTGTGTAAATACATTACATATTGTAACAGTTCTAAATCAGACGGATGTAAATTCTGGCCGTTTTGTGAAAAATCTCTGTGAAAATCATAGTTAATATAAAATTGGTATTACATACAGAATCATTCATGTCATAATGTCGTGCTACAATAAGAAATTAAATCTAAGATATAATATTATTAAAGACTTTGTACAAAAGTCGATTGCTTGGCCACCTCTGTCCCATTCGTGTTTCTACCGTGAAGCAGTTGTGTTTGCATGGCTGTGTTTCGGTTTGAAGGGTGGAATATGGCGTGAATTTACAGGGTACGGAGGAATAAATACCTGACAACGCATGGGCGGTATCATGGGCGAAACAGTAAACTCTGTTATGTCCATGGTACTGCTTATGTCTATAGGCGACGGTTGCCACTTTCCATCAGGTGGGCCGTCAGCTTGTTTGACATTCTAAGTTGTATAAAAAAAATCACTTTATTTCATCATCATCATTATCATATCAACTGTAAGCGTTTTTGCCAGTAGTCGCCACGTTTAGCAGGCGGGTTGGCAACCGCAGTTAGGTTTTGAAGTTGCATTAAACGTTATTATATATTTATATTAAATCTATTCGCCACATTACAACTATTATATTTCTGCTTTGACTTCCACGAGACAAGCTTTGCCTAATATGTGTTCATTAGCCATATTGTACCTATAAGCCAATTTTGTTTAAGAAAATTAATTTGTTTTTATTCCTATTTATAGTACTTTCATTTGGGGGAAAAGGGATTGTTAGTAATGGGGTCAAGTAGCCCTATTACTAGCAATATATCCTGTCAGGTCGACCTCCACCTTCCCCCTGGAAACCATCGTGACAAATTCTAGTTTAATTCGTCAGGATGGGCCAACTGACCTACTTTCATCTTCACCTGTCATCCCTCACTGGTGCCCCGCCAGTGTATACCAATAGCGCAGACGGGGTTACCATACCATTGGTATACCATACCATGGGTGACCCATTAAAAAAAAATACTTACATTAAATTAATAAGTTTATTCAAAGCCGACTGAATATTTACTGTCGTTCCCAACCAATCGTACTGTTCTAATAGTTTGCTGTCTCCCTCATACAAATCTTTCATCACCTCCACATAAGCATCAATTTCTCTATCACTGGTTCTCGTAAGTGATATATTTGGTTTTACAAGTCTATCGAAATTTTCCAGAACATAGTCTTCGCCAGCTGTGTTTATTATATCTTTGATTGTTAAAGGTTTAATATTATATTCTTCTCTTATTTGTGCATTCGCATATTTCTTACTTTCCTGTTTTACCTTTGACGCATCATCATCATTTATAACTTGGTTCTCATTTACTCCATTATTTAGATTTATTATGTATTGATCATTTACTTTATCTGTTTCGATTACATATTCTGCTACAGTTTCATCTTCTTCACTTATTTCACTTTTATTTGAATCGCAAAATGTTATCTTCTTTCCTTTTCTAAATTTGTAACATCGCAATTTGGGTACCTCTGTAGTTCTTCTATCATTTAATTTATTGGAACGAGGTGTAATTGGTAATATTTCATCATTGCCATAAACTATGTTGTTATTTTTAATAGAATTTCTATACGAATTCGGTGGTTTTTCCACTTGTAAAGAATCTTTCATGTCACCAAGTCTTTGCAAATGGAGCCTATTTTTAATATTTTTCGTATTGGATTCTTCATCAGAATATGTTCTGCTAAAATAATAATCAACTGCAATATTGCTCGGACTGTAAGACTCGTCATCAAAGTTCCCATGCTTGTTATTAGAGAGTAATATCATATAATCATCATTAGCAACTTTTGTTCTTAGATAAGCTTTTGGCGTTTCGTTATCTATTTCATTTTTATCTGTGGTCATCTTTAATTTATCATGTATAGATGGTACATTACCGAATATTTTATTTTGATACAGAATCTTTTTAATTGCTCTAATGAAACTTCCGTTTTCACTTTTAATATCTTGGTAAGGATTCATTTCTTTACTAAAGCCAGAGAATGATGGTTTGTTAAATTGTCTTTTCTTACTTTTTTTATTTTCTTTACTTCTTTTATTGAAACCAGTATTATCAGATCTGCCAAAGTAATAATCTGCATCTAAATAGTCGTCTGGTTTGATATGTATTGTAGTAACTTGAGGTTTCTTTACAGCTAACGGTAAAGATATATGATAAGTTGTTTTGTCACGTTTAATTTTTGGGTAGTCAGAATTTTTAACGCGAAACCTGAATTTTCTATTAGTATCATACCTAATATTACTTTCCAAACTGCCTATGCTTCTCTGTGCTATGTTATTATATTTTTTATTTCCATCTACATTCTTTACAACTTCATCGTCATTACCATTCCTAGATTCATCTTCATAATTTGGTACAAGTCTATTATAGGAATTAAAATAAGCATTTCTTGGTGAATACTTGTAAATAGGTGCATAATATGGTTGTTCGTGACCTTCATTGTTACTTATAAAGGTTGGTTGGTCGTTAGCTAAAAATAATATGGAATTAATAATATTTTAAAAAGAACTAAAAATGCAATCAAGCACCTTTTTCCATACTGGCACAATATATTAATCCCATAGCCACCTGATAGAGAGATAATGAAATCCAAGTTGTACATGGCAAGAAACACAGATCCTCGGAAGAAAATTCGTATATAAACCCATGACTGCAACCTCTGACCAGTACAGTAATTCTGTGACGAAATAGCGATGGAGAGATAATTTCCAATTTTTCAGAACATTTACCTTAAAAAACACCAAAGAAGACAATATCACGACACAGTGAGTGATGATACAGTCTCTATGATTTAAAAATTAATCTACTGAACCGATTTTGATAAAATTTCTATACGACTAATCTTTAAGTATAGCCTTTCAATTAAAAATAATTTTCTAAACTAGTTTACATCTGACAGAGTTAGGAGGTAACAAACATAAACAAATACAATAGAATTGAGAATTCCTACTTCTTGAAGTTAGTTGAAAATTAATAAAATCTAATTAATTACTGAAATACTTACATATTTCGTATACATTGTATTCTTTGATGTTTTTATTATTAATATTTAAATTAAAATCTCTTACAACTTTTTCATTTGAGTCATCTTCCACTGATTCCTGTTTATTATATGAAATACCTTGTCTTAATATGTTTATTATACTATGTACATTTTTCGTAATGCTTTTATTTTCACCATTGTTTAATATTTTCTCGTTTTCATCTAATTTTTGACTCTGTTTCAGATTAAGTTTTTCATTTTTTAGCATTTTATTATTGGAACTAGATACTAGGTCTGGATTAGTGAACACAGAAACATTATTTTGATTCGAATAAGAATGATTTTGATTTATATTTAATGCAACAGAATCTAGTGTAGTTTTTTTGATAATTGTTACTTCATCGTTATTTTTTTGAGTCAATAAAATTCTTTCATTTATTTTTTTAGTTACTATCTCATTATTTTCCTTTTCCTTTACAGAGTCTGGTCGTGAAACTGTTGTGTCTACTTTTTTTTCTTCTTCTAATACTTGCTTCGTTGTATAGCTCTGTTGCATAATTTTTAAGTTTGTGATATTTGAGATATCTGTTGTATTATTGGCAGTTAAATTTGAATTCTGTGATGTAGCTTGCTGTTCCTGTAATTTATCATCGTAGTCTGTATTATTTTTCATTAATGCTACATTCAATGTATCGCTCTCATTAGAATAGTAATTTAACTCAATATTTTCTTTTTCTAACGGTATATTATGAACAAATTTATTGTCTGTATTATTTGAACTACTTAAAATATTTTCTGTAAATCCTATAGAGGGAAGAGTATTTTCATCAAAATTATCTCTGACTGTACTCTCTTGGGTTGACACCCATTCTTGTATTGTACTAACGTTATTGTCATTATGACTAACAACACCTTGTCTTCTTAACAAAATTTCATTCATATTTTCTGAGTTCGTACTTATTTTTTCAGTGGTTTCATTAATTGGTATTTGGGATATGGTAATACCACTTATATTAACTTTATTATATGTAATTTTACTTTCTATAATTCGCTCATTATTTTTAGATGTATTTGCAAAATCTCCGTTTTCAAACGTGTCATATATCTTTTGTGTAAATCCATTTATAGACTTTGTTTCTTTTGATTTATTTTCGCTATCGCACTTCTTAGTCGATACAGTATTACTTGTTTCATTGTCTTTTACACCTTTATATGTAGTTGTTTCGTTAATGTAATCTGCTTTTTCAAGTTCTGTACTCTCTTTTGGATTGAAATGTATTGTTTTTGTCACCAAATAATCCGTATTATTCACTGTCGTTGTTATACTATTGGTTGCTGCAAAATTTCGTGAATATCTCTTGTAACCTCTTACTTGTATATCAGAATCATGTACAATACTTTTTTTTAAAGGAATTACACTACTAACGTCGGTATTATCATTTAATGATTCTTGATTTTCAATATAACTGTTTTGGTTTTGGTTTATTTTTAAAATATCTTCATTATAAATAGGTGTAACCAAAATAATTTCATCGTTATTGCCTTTTAATAAATCATTATGTTTCAAATCATCGTTATTTCTTTTTTTCCTCAGTCCTTGTTGTAATGTAAAATCTATATGATCTTTAACATATTCATCATCTACTTGTATCAATTTCTTATCATTTTCTAATAACTTTGCTTGTAAATGTTCTCTGAGGATTTTTTTCTCGTCAGTGTTGCTTATATCTGGTAGATCCTCTCTATCCCGTCTGAGGCTGACTGCTTCTTGTTTTATTACTTTGCTTACATATTCACTATATTTATCTAACTCTTCATTAGAAATCTTTTCTCTGCCTTTATAAGGTTCATTTTTTGTTTGAATTTCATCAAATATACGCCTAGCTATTTTATCTAGAAACGCTTGTTTCTCTTCATCTGGTAACAAATCAATATATTTAGCCTCATTGCTGTTACTTTCAGCATGTACTTTACAGATGAATATTATGAAAAATATTAAATGCATCTTTGAATCATTTTTCGCGTACTTTGTTTGTGATGTGAATTGATTAAAACAGCGCCCGATTTGAAGTCAAATAAAAATTCAATCAACGAAGTACGACCGTGAAATTGATTATGATAAGAATATAGGAATTTATTTAACGTATGATTGAGATAGTTTTAAGAAATTGAATTATTCTGAAGGAAAGACCTTTTTAGGCAAGTATTCCCTTCTGCCTAAAGCCTAGGATCTTTCAATGTAGCATGAAAAATTATTAAGCGAATCGGCATAGGGTAACCAATCGTAGAGAGCAGGAGATCTTTTCGGTTGATCGAATTCATCAACCGATTTATCTCTGTATCCGCTTAGGGAACATATGATGCGCCATTAAACAAAATGACGCAGGTTTTCTACAGAGTATAAAAGGATTTTTTGTAATTTTGCTAATTTAAATTAAAAAAATTAAAATAAATTAACCATAGCCACTTTTTTTTATATGTGGAAAATGCATCATGCAGAAACACACTCCCGGGGGAGGGTGTGAATACTGCCGGACTCCTACCGGCTAAAAATCACATGACAATCCCTCGCCGCGCCTTAGTGTTGGGGTCCTGGTAACCATAGCCACTAATTTAAGATCAATTAATCATGTCGGTCAACAATATTTGAAAAATAGTGGTATAATCATAGGATGAATTCATTTTTCTTTTTTTATTTGTTTATTTAGCTAATCATTTGTTTAATGAAACAAGATTTTGCTATTCGGACACCTCGAAACTAAATCCTAGCATTCATAATCATCATCATTTCAGTCATTATCCGTTCACGCTAGACATAGGCCTCCCCCATAATCCCTTCATCCTAGTCCTAGCATAAACAGGTATTATTTGGATAATTGTGATTTTTTTTTTCATTGTATAATTAAATTATTATTTGTGTGTTTCTTTTCAATGATAAGTAATTTAAAAGCTTCAATTTTTTTTTTAACATTTATTTCCTAAGAAGAAACAAACATTTGTATTTACAGCCAAATACCTTATTTTTTCTCCTTTACCTTACTTCTTATATGTATTCAAAAACCAGAACAATATTCACAAATATTTTGGGATTAAGAAAAAAGCATTCGTAGAGATGTTTGCAACATTTATTACAATCTAAAATTTGTATTTACAATTATCAAGTAATACTAACATTATTATTTCGTCAATACACCCTACATTTGTACAAAAATAGATTTATTCTTTGTTGGTCAAAGAATAAATCGATTCATGCGAGACATCGGTGAACATTTACATTTGTTGTCACAATTCCTTATAAATTAGCTTTAAACCTTGACGCGCCTCTTCTAATCTTCCTTTCATTCCATTTCAAACTTCTCTCCGCAGCTAATCTTGAGTTCAAGTCGTTTTCTTCGTCGCTTGTTGCAAAATCATCTTTAACAGGATTAATTTGTGGTTTATACTCGTTTGTGTCAATTATTACTGGCATAACGTCAGGATTATTTTCTAGTTCCTTCTCTAATTCGATAATTTCATCCTCTTCTCTTTTTAGTTCTTCATCGACGAACTCTTTGAGCACTTCTTCAGTTATGAAGTTTTGGTTACGATTGTCTATAAGATTCTGTTTTCTCTTTTGGTTTTTGTTTCTTTTATTTGAATTAGTAGCAGTTTCTTTGTTATTATTAGATTCGTTCTCATTCGTCTCTTTCTCTTTAGTATCGTTCGAAACTTTACCAAATTCCATGTTAATGTCGTAATACATGGGGGCATCTTCACACGGGATGGCCTCGCGTGGTCTTGTGCAAACTAATACTTCCTGAAAAACCAGAGAGAGGCTTAGCAAAAAAGGCGTCTGCTTGAGTACCTCTGTCTCACTTGTGTTTCTACTGTGAAGCAGCTGTGCTTTCATGGCTGTGTTTCGATTTAAAAGATGAGATATGGTAGTGGAAATACGAGGCTTTCATACAACTTTTCATCATATTGTACAGCGTGGTTTCAGCTATATTTCCTCCCACAAATGCTCAAGTTATAGAATGAACTCCCTGTCGAGGCTTTTTCAAGATACTACAGAATAGCGTTCTTCAAACAAGAGATGAAAAGATTTCTTCAGGATCGGCAACACGCGTGTTATCCCCCTGGTATTGAAGATGTTTATAGGCTACAATAACTGCTTACCATCAGGTGGATCGTATGCTTGTTTGCCACCTCAGTGGTATAAAAAAAAATTAAAAAATACCCATCGTTTTCAGAGATGACTACTCATGAGGGGTGCCATGTATATCTATTCTCTAAAAATACTGTTCATACGGCGACAGTTACACTTTCCATCAGGTAAACCGTCAGCTTGTATGCCATTCCACGTTACATAAAAAATATGAACGACAGGAACTGTGTTTACTGATTACAATTTTGATTCTTATGTTAATACTGGTGGACCCAGCAAAACATGACTACCGCCATTTTTTTCAAGCCCCATAACCTGAGCGTTCGTGGGAGGAAACATCTCTGAAACCGCGCTGTACGTGACCATTTAGGCTCTAAGGTATGAAGGTATGGTATGTAAGCCATTTGCCGAAGTTATATTTCTATCAGGAATAAAAAAAAAACCATTAAATATTTCTCAATTTAAAGCAAAATATATTGACAAAATTTAATTAAAATCGATTGAGCTGTTTCGGAGATTAGCATGAACAAGCACCTTGATATGAGATTTTTATAAACTAGATGGTGACCAGAGGGAGACTTTGTACAAAAGTCGATTGCTTGGGTAGCTCTGTCCCAATTGTGTTTCTACCGTGAAGCAGTTGTGATTGCATGGCTGTGTTTCGATTTGAAGGATGGGATATAGCGTGAATTTACAAGGTACAGAGGAATAACACCTGAGTCCGCAGGAATGACAACGCATGGGGCATCATCATGGGCGAAACAGTATACTCTGTTATGTCCATGGTACTGCTCATGTGTATAGGCGACGGTTGCCACTTACCATCTGGTGGGCCGTCAGCTTGTTTGCCATTCTAAGTTGCATAAAAAAACAGATGGTAAATCATACCTGATTGAAGATTGTCTCATTAGGACATATGAAGCTCCATCTGTATGTGACGTTGCGTCCAGAGGGCGCTTGCGACGGTAGACAGACGTGGAATATTTGACAGTCGTTGTCGACATCTGCATAGTAGCCGTAGGTTCGATTCTCACAGCTGACAAGAAATAAAAAAATACAGGTTAGTCATTTACAATTATTTCGTTTAATTCCGCTACCGTTAGTATGCGTGTGAACTGCCAACACTCGAAGATTTACTCCTATTATTATTAGTAGAAGTTCTGTGATTCTCTATATTAGTCGTAAGTCTCCGACCACTATTCAGTCCATGCACATGTTGCATATATTTCACCTCTAAACGAGACATCTTCATCATCATTTCAGCCATTATCCGTCCGGGGGAAAGGGATTGTTAGTAATGGAGACTGAGAAACCCAATGCTAGCAATATACCCAACCAGGTCGACCTCCTCGCGGTACCCCTTGGAAACTATCATGGTCAATTCCTGATGAATTCATCATGATGGGCTAACTGGCCTGTTTTCATTCTCATCTATCACCCTTCACTGGTCCTCCGCCAGCGTATCCCGTTAGCGCAGATGGGGTTACAATAAAAAAAAACCACTATTCATCCACTGCTGGACATGGGACTCCCCTATAGACTGCCATAAAGAACGGTCCTGAGCCACCTGCAACCAGTGACTCCCTGCAATGCATTTGAGGTCGTCACTCCATCTAGTGGGGGATCGTACTTCACTGCCCGTTTGCCCGTATGGCGTTGCCACTCAAAAATCTTTCTTTCCATCGGTTGTTGGTTCATCGAGCTATGTGACCAGCCCATTGTCACTTCAGCTTTGCTTATCCTTTGGGCCATGTCGGTTACTTTGGTTCTTTTGCGGATATCCTCGTTTCGGATTCTATCATGCAAAGAGACTCCGAGCATAGCCCTCTCCATAGCCAGCTGAGTAATTTAAAAATTTTGCATACGGACAATCGTGTAGGACCAATACCATCTTCATCTTTTTTTCTATGCAATTTAGAATTGCAAACAAGTTGACGGCCCACCTGATGGAAAGTGATAACCGTCGCCTATAGACATGAGCAGTACCGTGGACATAACAGAGTATACTGTTTCGCCCATGATACCCCCCATGCGTTGCCATTCCCGAGGACTCAGATGTTATTCCTCTGTACCGTGTAAATTCACTGCCATATCCCACTCTTCAAACCGGAACACAGCCATGCAAACACAACTGCTTCTCGTCGCTGTTGTTTCTTTTTGTTTTTTTGCTTAAAACAGAAGCGTTATTATTAAAATGTTTTTATTTATTTATTTATTCATTAGTACAAATATGTGTACATGGCGGACTTAATGCTAAAAGCATTCTCTACCAGTCAACCGTAGGCAAGTGTCAGAATACACGAATGCGGTATTAGTAATTATTGATATACATACATACTAAAATTACATATATAAACGAATAAATATATATGAATAACAAATATACTTACACATATATGACATATACTATATTGTACACGAAATTGAGAATAATATAAAGCACTTACTGCTCGGATAAAGTAAAAAAGTGAGTGTGAACGCTGAATGTTGTACTGTGTATTAAATAAATTAAATAAAAAATAAACCAAAGGTTGTCTGTAACAGACTGCACTAAGCGATAAGACCGCCTTTTGTACCTTTATGTGTATATTTCAATCTGTATTTACGTTACTGTATTTCACTTGAATTATTCACTTGTCATTGTATATTTTTATTTATGGTGCAGTAAAGAGTTAAATGAATAATTAAATAAATATTTCCTTATTAATAATACATGGATATATAACACAATATAGATAGGACACTATCTCACCTAAATGTGTCTGTTATGTTTTCTCTAATGGACGTCGCATTCGCTGGCAGGTTTAGAGTGTCGCTCTGTGTTTGATTCGCTACTGCCTGCAAATAGATTTATTATAATTATTTCAAATGAAAAAAAAATAAACATAAGTGATTCGCTACTGCCTGCAAATAGATTAATAATTATTACAAATGAAAAAAAAAATGTCAATAAACATAAGAATAGAATAGAAAGAGAATAGAAATCATCCCGAATAGACTTTTTTACATCATCATCATGGCTGTAGTTAGTGGGGGGATGGGGGCATTGAAGGGCAATGCTGTACCTTAAAATGAAAGGCTCCAAGACATTCCTTTTTAATGCGATGAAAATGGTGTGGTAACCCCGCCTGTGCTATTAGTATACGCTGACGGGGCACCAGTGAGATTTAATATGTGACGATGAAAGCAGGTCAGCTAGCCCATCGTGGCGAATTCTGCTAGAATTAACCACGATGATTCTCGGGGTGAACCGCGTGGAGGTCAATCTGATAGGGTGTATTGCTAACAATGGGTCAGTTATGCCCCATTACTAATAATCCCCCCCCCCCACCTTAACAGTAGTTCCAGAGTATCAATTTTTTATATTATATATTAATAGTACAAGAAAACATAACCCCAATACTAACGACTGTAATCTCTAATTATTCAGGGGTATTCAGAGCCATCTGTCGACTATTGTTGTTGTGTAATTAACGGAACACTTGACGTGGTCACATGTTACTGAGCATGTTAGAATCCACGGCGGTGGGTAAACCTACCGCTGTTACTAGAATACGGTTTGTTAACTGTGTTCCCAATCGCCAGAGCATTTTTTTTTGATGGGTGAAAATGGTATGGTCACCCCGCCTGCGCTAACGGGACACGCTGGCGGAGCACCAGTGAAGGGTGATAGATGAGAATGAAAACAGGCCAGTTGGCCCATCATGATGAATTCAACAGGTATTAACCATGATAGTTTCTAGGGGGAACCGCGAGGAAGTTGACCTTGTTGGGTATATTGCTAGCAATGGGATTCTTAGTGTCCATTACTAACAATCCCTTTCCCCCCTCGCCAAAGCATCAGTTGTACGTACATCATCAGACCTTACCCTCAAAATTTTAAGCATAATCCCCGTACTCAATTCGACGTCGATGTCATCTGATCTCGCATACGATACTGAGAGCAATACAAACAAACACTTCCATGTTGCGAACGCCATTTTCTTTGTCCAGTTTCTTACGTCTTTTTTCTCTCTGAAAATCATAAAATGATATAAAATGGTGATTGGACAGATAGATACTCTTTATTGTTTCCTCCATAAGATTACAGTAGTGAACTTATTATAAATACAAACAATTACAAGACCACTCAAGAACCTTTCTTCCCCATCGGTTGTCGGTTCTTCGAGCTATGTGACCAGCCCGTTGCCACTTCAGCTTGCTTATCCTTCGGGCTATGTCTGTAGATAGATACTCTTTATTGTTTCCTCCAAAAAATTACAATAGTAAACTTATTATAGATACAAACAATTACAAGAAATAATCACAGTGAGAAAACAATGGGCAACCCCGGCTTAGCACTGGTGCAATTCCGCACCGCTATGTCCCTGCATTTTAAATCTGTAATATCTTCGGAAATATTTATTTAAATCACATGCTGTAAAGATAGATAGATAGATACTCTTTATTGTTTCCTCCAAAAGATTACAATAGTAAACTTATTATAAATATAAACAATTACAAGAAATAATCACAATGAGAAAACAATGCGCGACCTTATCGCTGAGAGCGATCTCTTGCAGGCAACCTTTGGATGGAGAGGAGTAATTATAAACAGTTTGATCGGAGGTACGTTGAAATTCTACTATTTCTAAATATGGAGATGTAAAGACGTGTAATAATATAAATACAGCTCACATGTATACGTATATTTATTTATACATTAATGCACTGTGTAACTGTATGTATGTATGTACATACCAGTAGGAGACTTTGTATAAAGGCCGTTTTTTTTTAATTGTATTTGTTTCACTGTTTTTCTTATTTATATTTCTGACGCACTGAGTTTATTTGCTGTAACAAACTTGAGCTGCAATTTGATACAGCAGAAGTATGTCGTTTAATGGAATGTGTTTCGCGTAAAGTTAATGTATATAATAAATTACTTATATAATATATAGATGTAAATATAAAAATATATTCATGTATAATTTGAGGATAAAGTGGTCAGTCGCGATAAAATATAAAAATTAGGTGCCCTTTAATTTCTGAAGGTTTTTCACAATAATTCTTGTTAGCACATCAAAAGAAGCTAGCACACCAGGCTTCCGAGTGATGATTGTCAAATCATCAGGGGGTACAAAAGTCGATTGCTTGGGTACCTCTGTTCCATTCCTATTTCTACCGTGAAGCAGTTGTGTTTGCATGGCTGTATTTTGGTTTGAAATGTGAGAAATGGCAGTAAATTTACAAGATACAGAGGAATAACGCCTGAGTCCTCAGGAATGGCAACGCATGGGAGGTATCATGGGTGAAACAGTATACTCTGTTATGTCCACGATACTGCTCATGTCTATAGGCGACGGTTACCACTATCCATCAGGTGGGCCATCAGCTTGTTTGCCATTCTAAGTTAAAGTCTAAAAAAAAGAATTTAGCACAAAAGAGAGAATAGGCAAGAATAGATGGATGAACATTTGTTATTCTTTCACGCAATAACTACTGAACAGATTTAAATAAAATTTGGTGCACGGATAGGTTATATCCTAACTTAGTATATAGGGGGGAAAGGGTTTGTTAGTAATGGAGATTGAGAATCCCATTGCTAGCAATATACCCAACCAGGTCGACCTCCTCGCGGTTTCTCCTAGAAACTATCATGGTTAATTCCTGATGAATTCATCATGATGGGCTAACTGGCCCACCAGCTGTGCTCCGCCAGCGTATCCCGTTAGCGCAGGCGGGGTTACCATACCATTTTCACGAAGCACCAGTGAGGGATGATAGGTGACGATGAAAGCAGGTCAGTTAGCCCATCGTTACGAATTCCACTAGAATTAACCACGATGGTTTCCAGGGAGAACCGCGTGCAGCTAGACCTGATAAGGTGTATTGCTAGCAATGAGTTCATTAGATCCGATTACTAACAATCCCTTTTCCCCGCTCTTAGCGATAAGGTCGCCCATTCTTTTCTCATTGTGATTATTTCTTGTAATTGTTTGTATCTATAATAAGTTTACTATTGTAATCTTTTGGAGGAAACAGTAAAGAGTATCTATCTATCTATCCGTCTGTCACAGCATAGCGCTATGGCTCAGCAATTATTAATCTTAATTTGGAATAGTTTTAAATAACATTAGCTTACACATAATGTAAAATATATTTTTGAAAAAATATATTAGTAATTATTTTTTGCTTGTAGTTCAAAAGGGGTTGTTGAAATTTCAAAATCTATCTAAAATTGTTTTTTTTTTAATTTTTTTATGGATTTACAAAAAAAAAAAAATCCCGTGTGGTCCCGGCATAGAATAGGCCAGCCCTTCCTTTCGCGTGGGTGTCGTAAGAGGCGACTAAGGTAGAGCGAGGGATGGACAGCTGCGTCCTTGTTAAAACATCACCAAAGCCTAATTGTGGTTGCCAATCCACCTCCCAAGCGTGACAACTATTGGTAAAACCTCCCAAGGGGGAGGCTTATGTTCAGCAGTGGACAGTTAAAGGCTGGTATAATGGTAATGATGATAATAGAAAATATGAAAATAACCCTCCCCCCCTCCACTCTCTTATTTCAAAATTTATAAAATAAAAAATCTGAAATAATTACAGTTTATCTCATATTGTAGATATGCGTAGTAATAAAATGATTATAAAATTCAAATAAATTTTCATTAAAATAATATAATTGTACAAAATTCGATTGCTTGGGTACCTCTGTCCCATTCGTGTTTCTACCGTGAAGCAGTTGTGTTTGCATGGCTGTGTTTCGGTTTGAAGGGTGGGATATGGCAGTGAATTTACACGGTACAGAGGAATAACACCTGAGTCCTCAGGAATGGCAACGCATGGGGGCATCATGGGCGAAACAGTATACTCTGTTATGTCCATGGTACTGCTCATGTCTATAGGCGACGGTTACCGTTTTGGAAAGTCCATCAGGTGGGCAGTCAAATGTACGGAACACTAGACATGTGAATACGACACGCACTTGCCCGGTTCAATTTCATACATTTCTAATGAAAAAAAAAAAAACACTAAATCGAAAGTGAAAATAAAATTTAAAAAAACAAACTTACCACCCGAAACCGCCCTTAGCGCCTCATCCAATATTGTCACTTAGTACAGTCAGCAAACAAATTATCAATATTTATTTTATATTATAAACACTGTCACTCAATACAAGCGCCGGACAGGCTCGCAAAATATATGGCAATGTGAAAATTTTCATGGCATTTCGCTCTTTTATAAACGTAGCCCGATGGAGCTGTGTTTGCGGAATTCGCAATGAGAGATTATGTAGCGTTAGCAAAAAAATGACGAACAATAAATTTATTAGTTCACTAGCTAACGCCCGCGACTTTGTTCGCGTGGTGGTTGTTATTCCTGTTTAGTAGCTACTTATTTATTATATCCGGGAATACTGGACCAAAATTAACAAATGACGTGTCGTTCTCACTCTTTGCCTTATATCAAAATGACTTTACTTAAGTAGGTCGTGTATTAAACACTAATAAATAGTTACTATAGTTTTTAACTATTCCACGGGAACTCTTTAATTTTCCATTATTAACTAACTTGACTAACTTGACTTAACTAGGTAACTTGGTTGAAATAATAAAGAATAGAAGAGGCAAAATGCTGGGCCACTTTATACGACATGACGATTTTTTTAAGAGCATAATAGAAGGAAAGATAGAGGGCAAAAGAGGAAGAGGAAGACCGAGGATTAACTACATGGGACAGATAAAGGAAACACTAGGCGTCATGTCGTATAGGGAGGTCAAGGATATGGCCTGGGATAGAGCTGGCTGGAGGAAGATGCATGAATTAGTAGCACAGACAAGAGGAAACGCTTAAATGAAAAGAAGAAAGGTAACTAAACTGTTGACTACGGGAGTAAAGTACCGCCGTGCAAAATTAAAAAAAAAAAAGTTAAGTTAAAAATCAAGATTTTTCAACATTAAAATGACTGAGTAAAACTAGTTTTCAATATGGTATGCAGATGTTGATTATGATACGATGATGGATTGACTGTCAGTAAAATGACTTGTCATGGTAAATTATTTAAATTTGTTTGAATATAACAAATAACAATAATTTTACAGCGCCTATGCACTGTACACTACGCTGCTGCCCATCCCTCGATTATTAAGCTCATTTACTCACTTTTTACGATACCCACGGGAAAGGAAGAGATAGCCAAATCTACTTACAGACTGGCCCCTAATAGAAATTGTATCAAAATTGTTACCATAATTAAATTTTTAAATTATAATAACCACAATTGAAGTCGCTTTTTTATGGGACACATTTTTTTTTTTATATACAACTTAGAATGGCAAACAAGCTGACGGCCCACCTGATGGAAAGTGGTAACCGTCGCCTATAGACATGAGCAGTACCATGGACATAACAGAGTGTACTGTTTCGCCCATAATACCCCCAATGCGTTGCCATTCCTGAGGACTCAGGTGTTATTCCTCTGTACACTGTAAATTCACGCCATATCCCACCCTTCAAACCGAAACACAGCCATGCAGACACAACTGCTTTACGGTTGAAACACGAATGGGACAGAGGTACCCCAGCAAACGACTTTTATACAAAGTCGCCCTCTGGTACACATTCGTAATTTTTATTTATTTATTTATTTTTATTTCGTCCTAACACTTTTGTCTGCTGACGCCACAATAAATGAGCTTTGGCGCGGCGCGAAGTAATATGTGAGCCGAAAACCAATCGAGCTTAAATTCTCTAACACGGCAATATCACCGTGTAATAAGGTCATATAATTGTTAAAATATCCAATGACAATATTTCCTCACTAATCACTGTATGTTTTTTTTATACCACTGAGGTGGCAAACAAGCATACGGCCCACCTGATGGTAAGCGGTTACCGTAGCCTATGAACGCCTGCAATACCAGAGGTATTACGCGCGCGTTGCCGACCCTGAAGAAACCTCTTTACCCCCCTTTTGAAGAACTATGTCTATATGTATATCTAATGAATTTCTTCAAAAGACGTATTAAGGTTCAGCCAAATGGTCGGACACTGTCTACGTCTACACTAATATTATAAAGAAGAAAGATTTGTATTTTTGTATATATGTTTATAATGAATAAACTCGAAAACTACTTTGCCTATTTCAAAAATTCTTTCACCATTAGAAAGCTACATTCATCCTGAGTAACATAGGCTATATTTATTGCTAGAAAATATTGGGGATCCTTACTAAAACTTTAGTAACGTAACTAAAGGTGTAAATACAATGCTATAAAATATCTTTGGTCGCGTGCGCTGCGGAAACTAAACTGGTGATAGAACAAAAGTATGTTCTACAATATTGAAGAAAATATCAATAACTATAAAAAAAAACTTCGCGACACTATATGTCCAACTATTATCGTTATGTCACAATAACCACTTTTTAAAATGTTATAAAAATGTACACCCGTACGAAGCCGGCACGGGCCGCTAGTTTGTAAATAATTAAATAGTCCTCTGGTGAGAATGCTCGCCGAGAGGACTAGATCATCATTAGTGATTAACCCTTCTTTGCATCATGGTGGAAATTTCCATCATAACATTGAATGCCCAAAAATTATATAAAAGAACAAGTTCACTTTAAGTTGATCGTGTCTGGACACCTTTTTAATGTCCATTACAGAAAAAAAAACATAGCTGTCAAATTTAATTTTTTAACATTTTTTTTTTATTTTGAGCATGAATTATATCACCTCTATTTATTTCACCAATAAAAAAATCATGCAAAGAAGGGTTAAGTATTAACATAGTTTTTTTTTAAGTAAACTTACTTACTTAACAAAAATGGAACTAAGTTGTCTAAAATAAAAATAACAAGAAAAAAATTTTGACAATCCCAAGCTCACAGGCAGTATCGAGCCCTTAAGTCTAAGGCGAGACTTTACCTCCCCTTTGCGTATTCTACCGCTTATATAGATAGATAGATAGATATATAATTTATTTGCATCACTTACAATACACATATAACATTAGCTACTGGTGCATATCACCAGAGGGAGACTTTGTACAAAAGTCGATTGCTTGGGTACCTCTGTCTCATTCGTGTTTCAACCGTGAAACAGTTGTGTTTGCACGGCTTTGTTTCGGTTTGAAGGGTGTCATATGGCAGTGAATTTACTGGGTACAGAGAAATAACACCTGAGTCCTCAGGAATGGCAACGCATGGCAAACAAGCTGACGGCCCACCTGATGGAAAGGGGTAACCGTCGCCTATAGACATGAGCGGTACCGTGGACATAACAGAGTATACTGTTTCTCCCATAATACCCCTCATTCGTTGCCATTCCTCTGTACCCTGTAAATCCACTGCCATATCCCACCCTTCAACTGAAACACAGCCATGCAAACAACTGCTTTACGGTTGAAACACGAATGGGACAGAGGTGGCCAAACAAACGACTTTTGTATAAAGTCTCCTTCTGGTAAAGTGATGTATTTAATTTGTATTCCTGCTTCTGAAATCCACGCATACGAAATAGTGGACATAAAACTAATTTAAAATAATATCTTACATTAAAACTATACTCAATTTCAATATAACTTAATTAAACCAAATAAATAACTTAATTTACCAGAGGAAGACATCGATTGCTTGGGTACCTCTGTCCCATACGTGTTTCAATCGTGAAGCAGCTGTTCTTGCATGGCTGTGTTTCGGTTTGAAGAGTGGGATATGGCATGAATTTACTGGGTACAGAGGAATAACACTTCTCAGGAATAGCAACGCATGGGGGGTATCATGGGCGAAACAGTATACTCTGTTATGTCCATGGTACTACTCATGTCTATAGGCGACGGTTACCATTTTCCATCAGGTGAGCTGTCAGCTTATCTGCCATTCTAAGTTGTATAAAAAAAATACCAAATTTTTAAATCAGGATATCCGAACAAGAACCGAAATCACCGATATAGCCCGAAGGAAGGCAAGCAGCCTAATTGTCATTTTTTTTAATCTATTCCACGTCTGTGATTTAAAAAACTGGTTTAAATGTAGCTTCAAATTGTTTATAATTACTCCTCTCCATCCAAAGGTTGGCTGGAAGAGATCGCTTTTCGCGATAAGGTCGCCCATTGTTTTCTCACTGTGATTATTTCTTGTAATTGTTTGTATCTATAATAAGTTTACTATTGTAATCTTTTGGAGGAAACAGTAAAGAGTATCTATCTATCTATTTTTACAAGAGACTATAGCATGGGGTTCTTCAAAAAAGGGGTAAAGAGGTATCTACAGGGTCGACAACGTGCGCGTAATACCTCTAGTATTGTAGGCGTTCATAAGCTACGGTAACCGCTTACCATCAGGTGGGCCGTATGCTTTTTTGCTATCTCAGTGGTATTAAAAATATATCAATAGTTAATTGAACAGCAAACTGCCATATGGGCAATTCCATTATTCATTGATTTACAATTTCAATAAATTCTATTGAAACAGACTGCAGTTCCTATAGTACTCTTCACGATGTACCAACTGACCTGCTTTCATCCTCACCTATCATCCCTCCCTAGTACCTCGTCAGCGTATATTTATAAAAAAAACTTGTGTTCCATTTACAGCAGAAAATTTATTGCTTTCGAACTAACAGAGGGAGACTTTGTACAAAAGTCGTTTGCTTGGGTACCTCTGTCCCATTCGTGTTTAACCATGAAGCAGTTGTGTTTGCATGGCTGTGTTTCGGTTGGAAGGGTGGGATATGGCGTGAATTTACAGGGTACAGAGGAATAACACTTGAGCCCTCAGGAATGGCAACGCATGGGGGTATCATGGGCGAAACTGTATACTCTGTTATGTCCATGCTACTGCTCATGTCTATAGGCGACGGTTACCACTTTCCATCAGGTGGGCCGTCAGCTTGTTTGCCATTCTAAGTTGTATAAAAAAAAATCTAACAAAAGAAAAATCTTTTTTTTAACGTCCAAGTAAACGTTAACCACACTAATCCAAAAAATGGCCAAATCATAAATCACCATAACTGTACAAAGGTCGATAACTGTACCGCGGCGTGACCCAAAAATATTGACGGTGACTGTACACCACCGGAATATTTAAACATGGCGGCATTAGAATTGATTTAAAAATTTAACTCCTCGGAATCCCAAAGTGTGCTCGTATTGCGTGTAACGGATCGACTAAGTGTTAAAAGCCAATAAGCAAAAAAGAAATGGTATAAAAATAAGATATCTACATGT